TATAGGATTTTCTATAGCCTATCCTATAGGATTTCATATGAGATTTTCAACAGGATTTCGTATAAAATTTAGGGACATAAGAGTCAATGAGGGTCAAACGTGTCATAAGGGGGTCATATATGGGTCCTAAAGGGTCATATTATTGAAGGGTAATATGGGGGTTATATGGAGGTCATATGGGAATCATATCAAGTTCATATGGGGTCACATAAGAGTTATATGGGGGTCATATGAAGGTCATTTGATCCTCACGAGCCTCCTATGACTCTTTGTATGACCTTATGAACTTGTACATCTCCTTTGTATGACCCTCGTATGTCCCCATGTAAACCTTATGTGACTCTTATATAACCCACATATGACCCTTATATGACTTCCACATGATCCCCATATGACCCCCACATGACCTTCATATGACGCTAGGTTCACATAGTAATTTTCAATTTGATATTCTCTCCGTGTCCCATACCTGAAATCCATTGTATGTGACACTCTATTTCGCCAATCAAATTTTCTGCAGATGTTAGAGTAGGGTCTTCTAATTAAAATTTAATAAATTAGGGCATGAGTTCATGAATATCTGCCACTCCATCGCATTTATAATTTATTACATTCTAGATTTTGGGTATAAAACGAATGAGACAATTTTTGAAAAATGAATACATCACTTGTTTTTAGCCCGTGCTGTAACTTTGTATTCTCCAGAAAATTGACATTTGGCTTAATGACGAAAAATACTATCTATGGATAAAAAAAATGACTCATGTGCGTAGACTTATGAAAGCAAAAGCATGCACATTTACGTAACGTCTTGATAAGCTCGTGACCTTTGTATTTCGCCGCAATTGTATTAAATTGAATTGAACTAGAGTGATATAGATCAGGAGACGATTCAGAAATTCTATGCAGATTATATTGAAAATATTTTGAAAGACAATATCTTGGATTTTTATTTAGATGGCACATGAGCATATGATGCCATATGAGCAAATATCGTTGGCGAATCCGGTGTCAGAGTTTTTGCCATTTTTTTTTTCGTTTCCTTCGAATATACTTATGTATAACAAAGATGTCTCGAACAGCAGAGATCCCAAGGTTTAATTAATGGCACTCCACATGATCACAGGATTTCCGTTCAAAATTCTTCGTTATGATTTAATGCGTTGAAAAATGCCTAAAAAAATTGAAACCATACCGCTTGATGTGAAATTTTTAGCAATTTTCAAACATGATGGTCATTTTTCTTTTACCTCAATATCATATTGAAAATTGAACAATAAAATTTCAAGGATTGATTTAAGTTTATGCTTTATTTTTTCCCCTAATCTGATAATTTTTTCCAAAACCTCAAACATTTGCGATCGGAACCATGTTTCAAAACTGTTGCTCGCATACCGCGGAGCCGAAAAGGAAATGAAAAACAAAAAATGAATAATTGGAAAATAAATTTTTCATGGTTTGATCATGTTTTTACAAATTCGATTGATTAGATAGTTATTTTTTGGTACATGTGGCTTTCTCATTTATTATGAAGGTCATAATATGCGAAGACCATGAAAAATAAATGTCCGGAATATTCATTTTTTGTTTGCCACTTGCTTTTCGGCAGCGTAGCATACGAACAAACAGGTTTAAAATAAGATTTTAATCGGAAATTTTCTGAAGTTCTTGAAAACAAAATCAGATTGCTAGAATAAAAAGGGGGAACAGGTTCACATCAACTTTGGAAATTTTATTTTTCAATGTTCATCATGAGGTTCAGGTGAGGGAAACAATGTTCAGAAAATTTCCGATCAAAACTATGTTTTGAAATTTTTCAAGCAGTTTTGAACCCAATAAATTATTTATCTATTTTTATTACGCTGGAAACCCTTTTCGGGTTTATTCAGCGATCTACGCCCCTACCTAACCGTGCGACTGCGGCCGACTTTATGCACTGCACCACATTTGTCCCCTCGCGAAAAAAAGGAAACTCAGGGAACCACAGAAAACCTGCGTCGGTACAGTCGGTTACTCGATTAGCAACCTCCCGCTCGCCCAGAGCTGAGGTAGACCAAGCCCTCCAAGGAGAAATCGGCCCAGGTGAGCCCTTAATCCCCTGTGCAGAAGTTAAGGGCCCTTCCCAGCCGGAATCCGAAGCCCAGCCACCAATTTCAAGATTTAACCCCTACGAAGAGAAGTTACGGATATCCAAGTATCTTTTACAGTTTGGTATAGACCACACTATAGATTCAACTATTTTCAATCATCAAATTTGTTAATCAAATTGCGTGAGAAAAATTTGAAAAAAATCATGAATATTCTGTGTCATTCAAATTTCATTTTGCACAGAATTATTATTTTTCAAACATTCGTTGTTTATAAATAAATAATTAAAATTGTTTAAACTTTCGGAAACCTTCTTTTTTTAGGCATGAAATCGATTCATGGTAAAATTCTGAATATGAATAAATTTGTTACGATTCCGAACAAATGATTTTTATGGTAGAAAATTGATTGTTCATAAATTATTCATTGAAAAGGCTCATAATTTTCAAAAATTGCAACTTTTTAATTATTTCATCGATCTTCCTCCAAAAGTAAACTTTCAAAGATTTCTTCAGATTTTTATAATGTTTTCTAACAGGTCAATATCAAGATACAAATTCAGACCTGCAAAGTTTAAATAATAAAATCGTTGTACAATGTCCGGAAACCTGGGATCAAATGGGGCTTAAATGAAAGCTGTGAGGCTCGAATACCAAAGTAGAAAAGCATTTCACTGGAGAAAAAATAGCCAAAGTACTTGGATATCCTTAAGGGGTAACGGAACCAACCACAAAAAGACGTTTACCAAAAACAAGTTTTCTTGGATTCTATGCAGTGAGAATTAATGAAACTTTTTCCCCGTATTGAAAGTAGCGGAACGCATCGCTCTCTTCTCATACTTTTCTTATTTATGCAAAAAAAAATTGCAAATTATTTAACGGCAAAGACCAGGGTAAGGCCAACCCCATTTTATTTGTCGGAATCTGCCAAGTCATGGTAGAAAAACCGATTTTTCATTGCTCAAGCCCAAAAAGGGCTCTTTTACCGACGGTAGTTAAGCATGAGAAGTAGGTCTTTTTACCGTTGAGCAGTATAAAAGTGAGAAATGCACTACTTAGGAGTGAAAAAGTGAGAAATGCACTCCTTAGGACTGAAAAACGTGTGGCGCCACCC